TTTTTTGGCATCTTTTTTGATGATTTTTGTTGAATATCTCGGGTAAATATTGTCTGATTTCGAAAGTTTATACCTTTTTGAATTCGTAGGGATCCCTACTATCAATTGGCATTCAAACAAATTAAAAATCGATGGTTTAAAAAAAGTTATTGACTAAAGTCAATCTTATTTTTTTTTTTATTTTTTGCATATCTCGGCCAAATAACGTCAGATTTTGTTATTTTATACCATTATATGCTCGTAAGGATCAGTACTATCGATTGGCATCAAAAAAATAAAAATCTAAATTTTCACCCAAATTGACCAAAATGCAAGGGGTTACATCACGTTTTTTCTTAAATTCGGGGTCGGTTCGACAATTAAAACTTTTTCGATGATTTTTATTGAATATCTCGGGTAAATATTATGTGATTTTGATATGTTATACCTTTTTGAATTGGTAGGGATCCCTGCTATTAATTGGCCAATCCAAACAAATTTATAATCTATGGGTTAAAAAAGTTTTTGACCAAAAAACAATTTGTTTGTATATAAAAATAATGTCAGAATTTAGAATTCTTTAACATTTTGGACTCGTAAGAATCAGTACTATCGGTTGGCATTGAAAAAATAAAAATCAAAATTTTGTCGGGAATGATCGACTAGAGCCTTTTACTTGTTTTTCTTTGCGACTGTTTACGGCAGCTGCGAAATTCGAGTTCGTTCCAGTTCCAGTTGTGGCAACAATAACATAATGTGGCATGATGAGAGCAACTCTTGATGCTAGCGACGTGTCGTTCATTAAAATTAAACACTACAGCTCCCAACGCCCAACAGCACCAACTTTAGTTACAGTTATAGTTGCATAAATTCTTGGCTATATTAACTGTAGATGTTTGTGTGCTGGTGTGTGTGTGCACGTGGCATATTATACTGGCAAATACCTCCGGAGCCAGTTGACTCTGATTTCGGTTTGTGGCCCAAGTGAAATTTATATGCCCAAATTTAATGAACTTGAAGCATTTGCACGTTGTCTGCCCTTGGCTGGCCCCCTCCCTCTCTCTCTCCCACTCTCTCTTACTCACCCTCTCTCTTTCACACTGCCTATCAAGCACGCTCTCTCCCTTTCAGAACAATTCACAGGCGCCCAAATGCATTTTGGCCTGCCCTTTTGCCACAGCGTGTGGGTGTCGGGGCGGGCAGCTGCTTTAGCGATGTGGAAGGGGGGGGGGGGGTTGTGTATCCTGTGGCTGCGACTGTACCCGCTGCCTGTGTCCTGAATTGGCACTGTGGCCATTTGCCCAAAATTGGCACTGCCAATGCATTTGCTAAGACATAAACTAAACCACTGTAAAACGCTCGAGTTTCGCTGTCTGTGCTGCCAGCCCCAAACAAACCACGCCCCGACAGGCCCCTAGAAGAGCTCTTACTACTTCTCTTAGATCTAGTGTGTGTGTGTGTGTGTGTGTGTGTATGTGTGTGAGTGCGAGGGAAAACAGCATGAAAATCAAATTATAAATAAATTATGCAATTATAATTACACAAGGAAACTACTTGGGGCGAAACAACTTACACACATACACACACACACACACACACATATGCACACTAAACGCCAGCAGCGACATTTGCTGTATGCGTGTATGCGTTTGTGTGTGCTGGTGTGTGCCTGTGTGTGTGTGTGTAGAGTCCTGACTGCTGCCTCAGCAACGTAGCTGCGAAAAATGCTCCAAGTTGTCATGTAAGGCGCGTGTCTGTCTGGCTGCCTCTGTGTGTGTGTGCGTAGTTGTCCTCGCCTCGTCTTTGTCCCTCTTCGAGTCCTTTTGTACCCAGTCACAAATAGCACAAGTACAGGAAAATAATTACATTTTACGTGTTCCTATTAATCTTGCTGAGTTTTTAGTTTTAGTTGTTGCCCACTAATTCACTTTTTGTTCTTCGCTCTCTTTCTTTAAGTTTCACACATTCTCTCTCTCCCTCTCTCTCTCTCTCCTGGCCACCTTTCGAATACAATTTTCTTGTTTCAGTTTTGTTTTCCACTCGCCACTTTATACCCAAACTGGTCCGCACAAACCGAAAGCTATGTACCCTGAAACTTTATAAAGCATACTCTACTTTATTTTAAAACCCTCTCGCATATCGTATCGTATGTGTGATTGAAAACATGGCAAGAATATGAATGCCAATTCGGGTCTAAGTCGAGGCGTATTATAGCAAGCATAAAATACCGAAACTGAACCGGCGACCTCTCGCTTGTTAGTCCGACCCTCAGTTACGTAAGCCACGCAGTCTCATGACGTCACGTATGCAAAGCACACTTTTCGATGTTTTTCATACAACCTTTGACCCCACTGGGAGTGTGACTTTTCCAAAAGGAAGCCTCTCAGCTTCGCAGCTCTGACGGGTTTGGATGGGTAGTCAGTCAGGGCAAACTCTTTTAAATTTATACAGGGTTACATGAATATGAGGAAAACAATTTAAGGATTATTTTAGCTTTAACGCAAAATTTGTTATTACTACTTAATACAATATAAACACAAATCTGTGCCAAGTTTTATCAAGAGAGTTAAGTTTTTATAATATTGAAGAATCATATTGTAATTTGTCATTATCTGTTCAAAAAACCGTGCATTATATTTCAGTTATTATAGTATCAAATAAACTATTTATTTTAATCTGCTTATTAATATTTTCACACAGCTTTCCTTGCAAACTTTTTGCGCTCAAATTCTGTAAACTGGGCGGATTATTTTATGAGCTTTGTTTTGAATTTGCTCTTCTCAAATAGTTTTAGTTTATTGGCCACAAAATAAATAAAATAAAAAAAGAGGTAAAATAAATAACAGACTGACCAAACACCTCTTTGTGTGGCGCGGGCGAAGGGGCGGGATCTGCTGTTAACGCTTTGTGTGGCGAGTTGTTGTTGCATGCAACTAATTATGCTTTTTGGCATTTGGTAGCTTGCTCTTTTGTCACTTAGCAACATCATAAGCCGCTTAACCCGCTAAAGCCACAAAATTGAGGCACCAGCTTGCAGCACACTCACCCACACCTACAGACACACACACATACGCACTTACCCACGCACACGTAAATCTCATTAAAGTTAAGAGAACATGCTTCCAAATTAATTTCCGTAATTCTGCACTTGAGTTGGGGCGCTTTTCCATGTTGTTGTGTTTAAGAGTTTTTCTTTTCTTTTTTTGTATCAGGATAAAAGATAAAAACTATCCGGAGCTTGAATGCTATTACGTGTGTGTGTGTGTGTGTGTGTGGGGGGGGGGGGGGGGGGGTATTTTTGTCTTTAGTAGGGCTGCATCTGCATTGGATGGCAAATAATTGAGTTGCTTAAAAGTTATATAGAATGGCACCAAAAACAATTAAATTTTAACGAATGCAAAGCAAATGAGCTGTTTAAACAGAAAAGAAACTCATTTTATCCAAAAAGTCGAGCATTCAATACACCCGAAATCATACAGATACAACTTATTAAAAATTGGTCTTCAATAAAGAATTTAATATTCGACCGTTGCAGTCCTATGTCTATCTCTGTTAAATATGCCCTAACTCTATTAAATATTGTTAAATCGAGTCGAATTCATTAGTTTCAATAGATTCACGTTATATGTATTATTAAGATTACGTTCTCAAAGATTCAGTTCGAAACGGGTTTCATCAAAGGTCCATTACTTACGCTCCTTTAGTCTTAACCCACATTTTTTCAGCTACTTGAGCTTCAGTTATTCCGAATTATTCGCAAATGTGCTGGGCTAAGTAGTTAGTGAGAGCGATTAGTGCAACCTATTAGTGAAAGCCGCTTGGTACTTATAAAACATTTATTGCTTCACACTTGGTATCCACATTCTTTTCATCTTCGAGCGGCTCTTCTTTGATGAGCCTTCTCGTAGGTCGCCAGTTTAATCGTATTTAGTTGGCATCTCTGGACAATATTCTCAATAATCTCCTCTCCAATAAACACCGGTTTTTGATGAGCTGTGGGTGGAATATGTACATTAACAAATATTTGAATATTTACTCGCATTCTTATTGCAGTTTTTATCCATTTTGAACTGCTTTCGATTAATTCTCTCTTTTAATGATGTTTTCAACACTGACAAACGCATTCAACTGTTCTCAAGATACAGCACTATCTAGTCGATATTTTCAACGCACGTGTCGATAACAATGAAAGGTCTCGGACTCGATGTGCGCTTAAAACAGTGTTGGGAAAGTGTGATAAGTCAGCGGTGGATTGATTGCATTCTTTTAACTTTTGTAAATGTATTCAAATGTAAGGGGTGTAATAATATGTAATGCAGGTGTTTTATCCACGCTTTTTCATCGATATACATCATATATATCCAAGGCTAATCTGTGCGTGAAAAAAATGTTTTAATTTGAAATATCATTAATCATTGTGCGAGACCGTGTGAATTCGTGAATAACAATGGTACTTTTAAATAACATTTCAAGTTCAAATAAAGAATTTGAAATTTGGATCATTGACACCAGCACAGTGGACATCAAGTCCAAGCTGCTCCTAAATGCATACCTTTGTATATCGCGCTGCAGTGCCTCAGTATCCAGTTGCTTGACGTCGCCTTTCGCGGAAATGTCCTACATGACGCTGCTGAGAGGTCAAAGGTGCCGGGTTGGGTCAACCAATTTTCTGATTCCTCGTTTCTAGCCTTAACCCAAATTTTGTGAACCGATCCGTACAATTTAGGCAGCCATGTAAGCTTTGTTTATTCCGAAAATTAAGGCACATATCTATCACAAACGAGCTGGGCTAACTAGTTGATAATACCGATTGGTGCAACCCACGGGGGGATAACCCTTGGTATTACATAATTATTGCTCTATCTTTGTCTCCACATTCTATTTATCTTCGACTTGTCTTGCTTTATTAGGCTTACAGGCCTTCAGATCCAATTCAAAGCTCTCACACCTCTCGATGAGACTCTGCAACAGTTGCGCAGCCCGGGCATCAACATCGTCATCATCGGGATTGGGTGAATAGGGCTTGTCGCAATATTGACGCTTGTAGGCCGCCAGCTCAGTCTTAAGTAGTTCGCACTTCTGGGCTATTCCGTCCAGGCGTTGCTGAAATGGTTGCCAGCTCTTGTTACGGCGCGGGTGGTAAACGTATTTCTCCAAATACTTGTATATCTCCGGATTGTTCTTCTTGCACATCTCGCACATGCGAAACTCCCTGATCTGGCCACGAAAGTAGTGTGGCGGAAATGCATGATGGCACTCCGTGCAGGTGAGCACATAAAGATCCTGTATTCGAAAAAAGTATTGAATATACATGAGCATGGCGACGCTGGGGCATACTTACATAGTTCTCCATTTCGGAGGGCTTTCGACTAGGCAGCTCTTTATGGACACGCTTCTTTATAGTTTTCCCTCTATTCACAGTTCGCGACATTTGGCTGAGGATGTTCTCAAAAATGCAAAAAAAAAAGAGTGCTCTTTTAATACAAGGCTATTTTGTCGTTTGACAGCACGTGTCGATAACAATAAAGGATCTTGATATCGATATGTTCTAAGCAGTGTTCTGAAAGACCGATAAGTCGGTGTTTGAAAAAGAGCTTTTTCTTGTACAGTTCTGTTCTGTTATATTTCTATATCCGGATTCGCTTTACTGACAGTCCGATTTTTTAAGCAAGAGATAATAAAGCATTTTGTTTGTAGCGATGAAGGACAGTTTACAAAACAAAAATACTTTCAATTTACTTTAGGGACAGTTTTATTTTAGTACATATAAAGGCCGAGGTTTAAGTATACAACAAGCAAATAAAAAGTATACAGAGCAAAAGGGAAGTAAAAAGTTGTGCTAATGTATTTAACCAGTTTTCAACAAACTTGTTTGTATCAAATCTGTAAAAAGTCTTGTTCCATCTGGAACTGTTTTGGCATCTCTTCTACTTAGCTTAATTTTGCCAATCGGTTTGTGGAATTTAGTCAGCTATTATATTCCGAAAAGTAAGCAGATATATATCCGAAATGAGCTAGAAAATAGTAAGTAATTTCGATTAGTATAACCCATTAGTGAAAAACCTTAGTAAGCAACTTATTTACAATTCTAATTGGCTTCCTCCTTCTTATCACCTATAAGTAGCTCTGCTTTATAGAGCTTACAGGCCCTCAGCTCCTTTTCGAGGGGCTCGCATTTATAGATCACACTCTGGAGCAGTTGCACGGTTCTGCCATCAACTGCATTAGCTGAAGCTGGTTTGTTGATATATTGACGCTAGTAGGCCTCCAGCTTAGACTCAAACAGTTCACATTCCTGGATTTTGCTTTCTAGGGTCTTTTGATATAGACGCCAGTTCTTACGTGCATATCTTCTCCAAATATTTGCGTATCTATTATATTAATGGGAGGTCTACTTACAAAGTTACCCATTTCGGGCAGCTTTTGGCTTATTAGCTCGATAGAAACGATTCTGTGATAGTATTTGTCTATCCACAGCTTTTGACTCTTTTCTGGCGTACTTCTCAACACTAATGTAATGTGTTTTATCGATTTACAGCACGTTACAGCGATAAAAGCTCTCTGACATGTAAGCAAAGTGTTGGGTTAGTGCGAAAAGCAGTTTGGAATTTGTCTTAAATGCGACCGTTGGCAGTGCTATAATATAATATTATAATGCTCCACGCTAATTAAAAATAAAATACAATAATTCTGAATACGAATAAATTCAAAAAACAAATATCAGAATTATTTATTGCAGCTGGGTTTGGACTGGCGATTTTCCATTGTTAGTTCGACGCTTAGACGTTTGCAAAACATGAATGTACAATTAAGGTCGGATGTGTTTGCTTTCGGCCCAAAGAGAAGCTTCTCTTCGATATAACTTAAGTTTGAAATAAGCTGTTTGCTCAGGGAAAGCTATTCTCTGCCTCCTTGTCCTATGGGACGAGAACATGTAAGTTTTTTAACAGCACAAGCACTACATACATTCTTATAAAGTTCATATAAAGTTGTTAAGTTAAAGACAATAGGTTTTCAACTGAAATGTTAAATTGAGTCAGCCATGAGAAATTTATTTATTTTCTTTGTGTAAAACATTCATTGCTCCATCTTAATCTCCGCATTTTTTTCACCTTTGACCGGCCTGGCCTTGTAGAGGTCGTAGGACCCCAGTTCCTTATCGACGATCTCACACTTATAGATCAGACTTTTTAGTAGTTGCACCGCCTTTGCATTCACGTCGTGATTGTCTAACTTGGATGAAGCTGGTTTGTTGCCATATTGATGATTGTGGGCCAACAACTTAATCTTAAGAAGTTCGCATTTTTGGATAATCTTCCTCAGGCGCATCTGATATGGATGACAGTCATGGATATGCTTCGGGTGATACACGTACGTTTCCAAATATTTGCATATTTCGGGGTTTTTCTTCTTGCACATCTTGCACATGCGAAACTCCCTGATCTGGCCACGAAAGTAGCGGGGTGGAAACGCTTGATGACATTCCGTGCAGGTGAGCACATAAAGATCCTTAATTGGGAAAATCGCTAGCGTATATATGCGAATGCGAAAAATGCGGTACACTTACTCGTTTATCCTTTTCCGACTTTCGTCTAAACATCTTCTTATGGAATTGCCTTTTTTTATTTTTAATTTGTCTATTCATTGTTCGTGACATTTAGATAGCGATACCCACAAGACTGACAAAATTAAATGCTCTTGAAATACAAAGATTTTGTATCGATGTCCTGGACAGCACGTGTCGATAAAAGTTTCGCATCTCTGAATCGGCAATCGGTAAAAACAGTGCTAGATAAGTTCGATAAGGTGTTTTGGATTTTAAAGATTGGCAGCGGGATAGTTTCTTATAACATATAAATTATATATATAAGTATCTAAATATAATCGACTCGACCCGGCTATTCATAGGTCACTTTCTCTCAGTCTTTATCCCTCTCTCCCTCTTCTTCGCAAGACGGAAGCTCTTCCTCTTCCCTGTCTTTGTGCTCTGAGCCCATAACCCAGAACAGAAACATTCTTTGGAATAAACAATAATTGCGTTCACTTTTGCTCGGATACGTCAACTGATGGTTGTAATCCGTACAAGTGCTCAGGGTAGATACAACAAATTATCTGTCTGAAATCGTCAGTTCTGTAACCTTAATTTATTCCAAGGAATAGTGCAAATATTTATAGAAAATTAACTGGCCCAGTAACAACTATGAGTATAACTCATTAGTAAAAGCCCCTCAGTATAAGATATTTATTGCTCCATGGATACCAAATCCATATTCTTGTCATCTTCGTCTGTCTCTGCTTTGATGAGCCTACAGGCATTAAGCTCCTTTTTGAAAACCCCAGGTGCCTCGTAGGCCGCCAACTTTATTTTAATTAGTTGGCATTTCTGGACAATATTCGGAATAATCTCCTTTGCAATAAACGCTGGTTTTTGATGCGCTGCGGGTGATATATATGTACTTCAACAATTATTTACTTTTGTGCAATATTAATTCACATTCCTTTCCATTTCGAACGTTTTGCGACTAATTAGCTTTTCCAAAAAAAAAAACCCTTCCTTATAACTTTTGTCAATTCACAGTTTGTGACATTCGGCTGACAATGTTTTCAACACTGACGAAATTTAGCGTTCCTTAAACACAACAATATGCTATCGACTTTCGACAGCAAGTGACGATTGCAATACAAGTTTAGTACAATGGTATAATCTATTATAGTCTACGAATTATACAATTAACGAAAAGAGCATCAAAAAGTTGTGTATCTGTATTTAGCCACTTACCATGGGTAGATCGGGTTAAATATTTCTTGCAGTATTTCGATGACCTCTTCTTTTGCTCACAAGACGTCGTCCTAAACCTTTAAATATACGTTTTATGGGTAGGAGATTCCTTCTTCTGCCTGTTGCATATACATTTTACCCATATTCAACGGATTTAGAATATAAATAGACTGCAGCTACAATAATCGATAGCGTAGTAAATGAAATAAAAAATAAAGCCTGGGCTTAAATCCCTCACCAAAAATAAGTGCGAGCAAAGACCCCCTGTTTAAATGCCGTCTATAAGAGTTAGTGAGGCAACACCTTAATGCGTTTTACAGCACTGCTTGGAAACGTTAATGCAGCATCCATTGCTCAATTATGAGTAGCTGGTCACACAGCACAGCGAGCAGAGTTTAACAAAAGCAAGAAGGGAAGAAATAAAGAGATAAATAGAGTGCCTCCTAATCACACACACATATATCGATGTGTGTGTGTGTGTGTGTGTGTGTGTGTGTGTGAACGTCATTTGCCAGTTGTTTGCCATTGCAGCATTTTTGGCTAACGCATTCAGCGTGTGCGATGCTCCGCACTGTTTTCAATTTAGTTGTGCACAACGAAGCAGCAGGCGGACCCAACACCTGCCATTTGCCGTTAGACAATCCAGCGATGGGGCGGCGAAAGACGAGGGGTGCGCGGTGAGGGCGATGGAAGCGAGGGAGTTGGATTTAGCTGCCAGTGCTGGACAAGGGCCTGCTGCTGCGACAACCTGGTCGTCTGGCTATTTCCTCAGCCCCGCTAGTCGCAGCCCGTGCGGCTAGTGCCTCGTGCTTTGGTCCATTGGTGGCGCCACTCAATTCAAATGAATCCCTGTTTGGCTTTCACTTGACAATGGAGACACACACAGACACACGCCCACCCTCACAGAGATCTCTCGCTGTGTGTGCGAGTCAGTGAACTTAATTTGGTCACACACAATTGATTCTTTTTATGGGCACACTCTTTCATACACACACAGAGACACAAACACACACGCACACACATTAAGCTGTTATTGTTGTGGCAGAGAGCTGTACACTGATAAAAAAAACAACATTTTTATTTCTCCTTCTGTTACCTTAAATCCCAAATATTTCTATCATCTACAGTTTTAATTATTGAATCGCCGTTTTAGAGCCACTATCAAAATGATTAAAGTCACAGTTTGCGAGCTACAGCTTACAGCTTGAGATTCGTTGTATTGCAGTTACGGATCCAACGATGCATATAACGATATATATTCGCATCCAACGTTTAATGTGAATGTTTATGAATTACAGTTTTAGAGTGACAGATATTTATTTAGTTTAAGAGCCATGGCTTAAGTCACAATGTCATAGAATCGCAGTTTTAACTGTTTTAATACCAGTTTAAGACTCACAATATTGGGGATTAATTATCAGTTTTAGAGTCACAGTTGCAGACCAAATAATGTTCAGCTCTTGCCGGAAACTTGGTGCAGTCTATTTCACAGTCGACTAATTGCGATGACAATGTTCTAACATACTAAGTTCTTTCACTGTAGCAGCAGCTGCAGTTAGGAGCCAGGAGCCAGGAGCCAGGAGCTAGAACTAACAGCAGCAGGACACAACAGCAGGTGCTAAGGCCATGGCGCTGACGACGTTTTGTTACCTTGTGCAGAACTCGTTTTGTAATTTGTGGCTGAAACAATGCAATTAAGTTGACATTAAGTGAAGTTCGCCAGCCCCCTTCCGCCCAAAAGGCCACCTCCTACGGCATATCTACGGCAGCAGCGGTAGCAGCAGCAGCAAATCTAGCTCCAGCTCGAGCTCGAGCTCCATTTCCATTTGCGGCCAACATCGCATTTCATCAGTCGCACTAGCACACCGCAGGACTATTCCATTGTCTTCGAGTGCGCTTGCGAGTGTGAGTGTGAGTGTGAG